TGTTGAACGAAAGTCAACTGGTGATCTGGTCGCACAGTCTACCCCCAAGATTGTCCGTCCGGTCATCAAAGAGCCAAAGATTCATAAACGTGCTTCGACCCTCAAACAACAAGGTGCTAAACCTGAACGCACCGGAAGACCTGGGACGACAATAACGGTTCGTGATGACTCTCTCATAGTCATGAACCTCAAAGACAACCCTTATCTTCCTCTCATTTTGCAGGACAAAAATGATAGGATGCTCTGAGGAGAATTGAACAAGAAACTTGAACTTCCAAGAATAGAGCCTTTGACAGTCACACGGCTAACTAGGGGAAAGGAATCTAAGCATCAAAACCACCCGAGGCTACTTCGTGTAACACTTAGGAATGCTACCGACATAGAGGATGTCTTACTAGCGAGTCATTTACTGAAGTCAGATGGGAATGTAAGAATACTGTCTGGCATACCGTATTCTGAGCGCAATCTCATCCGGAACATCCCCAAAGAAACTCGCGATTAGTTTTTCCGCGGGAGGAATATAATCGTGCAAGGTATGCCGGAAAATACGGACCCTACTCAATCAAAGACTGATATCAGGGAATGGAAATTCATCAAACAGTCCTTGAGGCTTAAAAACATACTGACTCAGCATGTGACGAGACTAGCCAAGAAGGTGATGATTCGAGACCCCGTCTAATGAGGATAACCTTCCCATCTCTGGAAGCATTTTGTACCAACAGACGTCGACTGCCACCTGGAATCCACATGCACCCGGATAGGCCATACGAAGCTAGGACCAAACACAAAGGCAAGTTGAAGCTGACCATTCCACTTGTGGCCTGTCTAGACGATAAAAAAACGTGTAAAAAACAGGGTCTACCACCTCGGCAAACCTCATATAGGTGGGTTACCTGTCCATTCACATAAGGTTCATACAGAAAAACAGGACGAAGCTCACGCGTTCCAAATTGAAAGCATAAACTGCTTATATATGAACGCCGCGAGTCTACCAAACAAACTGGATGAACTACGTGAACTTAGCAACTCTAATAAGGCCCATCTGATAAGAATATCTGAAACCTGGATATCTTCTCAGTTCTCGGACCAAGAGTTAGCATTGCCTGGGATGACTTTGTTCCGCAACGACAGAAAAACAGGAATTGGGGGCGGAGTAGCCATATACATAAGCTCTTGCTTGGAGGTGCACCAGGTTTACAACCTCGAGTTTAACAATCTTGAGGAATCCATATGGTGCTCTGTAAGATTGTCTAGTACTTCCAGGTGTCTAGTCGGAGTCATTTACAGGAAGCCAACTGCCGACACCGAGTACGATAGTCGTATGCTGGAAGGACTATCCCGCTCTATCCGTCTCGGTTTCACACACATCCTGATTCTAGGGGACTTTAATCTCCCTAGAGTCAACTTCGCGGAACACACGTACACTGGAGGCGACAAGTCAACTGAAGCTCGGTTCTTCAACCTTATCGATAACTTGGGCTTATATGAAAATGTGAGGTCGGCAACTCGTTGGAGAAACAGTCAGACACCATCGCGCTTAGACTGTGTATTCACTAACGAAGAATTCCTAGTCGACAACCTCTCAATCCTGGCTCCTCTGGGAAAAAGCGATAATGCCGTCATAGCCTTCAGTTTTGTCATCAAAACTAAGCTAAGGTATCCCAACAATAATTTGCGTTGGAATTTTAAACGGCTGAATGTGCCAGCTCTACATGACTATCTACAACAGGTGGATTGGGATGTTCACCCTCAACTTGATGTCGATGCTCATTGGGACTTCTTACTGCACATGCTACAAAGCAAACAGTTCCTCAAATGGTCCACAAAAGCTACAAGCAACCTACAATCATCAAGAGCCGCATTCTACGCCTACTAAACGGCAAAAGTCATTGTTGGGCAGAATACGAACGAACTGGCAATACAAAAATATGAGGAAAATATGCACAAAGGCAGTAAGAGAAGACAGGCTTCAGTAACAGATAAAGCTTATTGATAAATTTACCTCCAATCCGAAAAGCTTATTCCGTTATGCAGCCTCTCTTCGACAGTCCAAAACTGGAGTTTCCCAACTGATAGGTCCTAATGGCCTGATTAATAACGACGGCGACGCCGCTAACCTTTTGGCTGGACTATACTCTCGGACATTTCAATCGGCTCACATCAACTATATTGATGAAAGCTTCACAGGACTTTCCAAAGTAAACCTGAGCTCTGACTTGTTGTATCCGGAAACTACAGCACGTAAAAAAGACACTTCTGGCCCGGATATAGTTCATTCTGCTATACTGAGGGAGGCAGCTTCACTCCTGGCAGCACCGATTAGCGTGATGTTCTCACACTCGCTAAGCCGAGGCAAACTACCGGAAATTTGGAGGCTGGCTCACATCACACCAATTTTCAAAGAAGGTCGACGCAGCGAACCTTCAAGCTACCGACTGGTGGCTCTTCTCTCTATACCCTCAAAAATCATGGAGTCCCTGATATGCGACGGTTTAAACGACTATTTACTGTCCTTAAATCTCTTCTCACCCCAACATTATGGTTTCAGGAAGGGTAACACTTGTATTACCAACCTACTGACTGCGGTGGACAGACGGACAAGCATCCTTGATCACAAGGGGAAGGTTGATATCATCTACCTAGATTTCTCAAAAGCTTTTGATAAGGCTAACCATACATGTCTTATTATTAGGCTCAAACGATTGGGTATCAGACCACCTCTAATCGATTGGCTCACTTCATATCTAAAAAATCGACATTTTAAGGTCAGGGTTAACTTCACTTCCTCTCAGACTATGGAATGTCCTAGAGGGGTCCCTCAGGGCTCGGTACTAGGACCTCTTCTCCTTTTGATTTATATAAACGATCTTCCACAACAGGTATCGTCAGACTTATTACTTTTTGCCGACGACGTGAAGCTTTGGAGAGAGATACGCAACCAAGACGATATACAGGCACTTCAGGAGGATCTGACTCGACTTCAAAGTTGGGCGTATGACAACAGACTTATCTCTAACACTTCAAAATGTAAAGTAGTCCATCTGAGACATTTTTCAGACCGCAACTACAACTTAAGAAACTCCTCTCTAGAGGTATCTCAAGTTGAAAAAGATTTAGGAGTGCTGGTACCCTACGATTTGAAGTCATACTCTGTGACAAAAATGCCTTTCGAGAAAATCTTGCACTGGTAACATTGAAGCGCATTCTTGGCCAGTTTGACAGGAAAACTTTCCACATAATCTTCAACAGTTTTATTCGTCCCCATTCAGAGTACGGAAACCTTGTATTTCCTCTCTCACTCCAAAAGGATAAGGACACTCTGGAGCGTATCCAACGGCGAGCCACGAAATCAGTTCTGGGACTCAAATTCAAGCCTTATGAAGGGCGTCTCCAATCACTTGACCTTTGCCCATTAGAGTATAGGCGTCTTAGATGTGACCTAATGGCTTACAGTATCATTAACACTTCTGGACATCCCCCTAAACACCTACTTAAGCTCAGTCCCATTACAAATCTAGGGGGTAACACCCAGAAATTGGAGATACAACATAGCAGAATGGACTGTAGACACAACGTCTACTCCTTAAGAGTTGTCAAATGTTGGAATTCGCTGCTGACTGAACTAGTGCAAGCGACTTCCCAGGAGTCATTTAAGAGGAAACTTGACCTATTCTTAAGGACTAAGGATAATATCTTACTATGATTTACCAATTTCTTTTTTTCTAATCTATTATGGTTAATATACCTAGGTCCCTGCCTTGGAGTATTGGTGATCCACTGCTACTAGGCACGGAAACCCGTTAAGTGGAAGCTTCTTCTATTCCGTCCACAACCATTTGAACCATTTGAACTTATTAGCGGCCGATGAAAGTTGGTGCTCTCTTAAAGATCAGAAGTTATCTATTGTTGTAGCTTACATTGGCTTCAGCAAAACGTTTGACAAATTTCTTCACAACCAGCTGTTATACTAGTTAAGTAATATCGGGGTTGGTAGGCAATTTGTTAATGTGGATAAAGGATTTCCTAGTTGGCTGTCAACAAGGAGTACGAGTGAACTCAAAGTTGTGGAGTAACTCATGGTACTGTTTTGAGGCCAGTGTTGTCCTCCTGTTCGTAAATCGCCTTCCTAGTCTCCTATCATCATCGATCTTGCTATATGCTGACGATGTCAAGATACTGCGAGCGATAAAAAGTAGAGGTGATAGTTAAGTTTCAAAATGACCTAAAGAAGTTATCTGGATGGTCTCAAACTTGGCGGTTGCCGACAAATGGTTCCAAGTGCATTGCAATGTCTGTTGGTCACAAAGGTACAAACACACACAGTGAATAACATTGAGCTGTACGTTTTCCAGACACACAATGACTTATGAGCCATCGTTAGCCAATGCTTAAGAACTGTTAAACACTGCCGTAAAGTATCAGCCAAAGGTTTCAGTCCCGATGGTCAATACGTAAAGCCTTTAGCTACGTCGATGCTAAAATCTTTTTGTCTTCGTGCACAGTATTTGTTCGTCACAAACTGGAGTACTGAATATAAGCAGCTAGTCCCTGCTTAAAAAGAGACAGTGAGCTGCTGGAGTAGATTTTCAGAACTGCAAATATGCTGATTCTCAGAATTTCAAAGCTCCTGTATGATGCACGACTGACTAAACTAAACCTATTTCCCTTGTCATATAGATGAATTAGAAGAGATTTCATCACAATTTTTAAACTACTTGATGAAGTATTGGCAAATGATATGCTTTAACTTGTCTTGTCTTCCAAAACAGAGAGTTAACGAAAACACTTCAAAAAAGGTTCATAAACCTGGAACAATTTACTTGTAAGATGATTATAGACTATCCCATCGAATCATCAACGAATGGAACCCATTATCTCAACACGCGATTGAAGCTCCATCTGCTACCAAAAGGAAGTTGAGTCAACTGAGGGACTGCCATTACTAAGAATAACCCAGGCCACAATTCTCTTGTTCTTCTATGCTGAAGTTGTAACAGAATTAACCAATCAAAATTGAGATTACGTCTCATACAATCTGCGCTAAGTTTAAAGTGCAGCAATTGTTGCATGGGAAATTATCTGCTGGTAGTTTCGATTCCAATATTACTTTATTTTCGGGCTTGTGTGATTCCTGGTTGATTTTGTTATTAAGTGGTGAAAGCCTTGAGTGTAATTTGCAAACCCAACCCAAAGCTGTAGCCTTTTCTAGCACCCAACCCTTGCCTTCTTAAATTATAACCGATGCCATGTTATGGAAACTCTATGGGGTAGTAATTCATACTTAGAATTCAATTGGTATTGTTTGATCGAATCTTCCCATTGGTGTTTAGATCTGTAAATGATCAGTGTTTATGGGGTAGTAACTCTTACTCAGAATACTACCCCGACTCCCTATATGATAACCCCACATTTTTTCCTTACTACGAAGAATAAGTTGGTCTGTGATGGTTAATTATTCGGGCCAGAGCTGATATTTCACTATTCATCATTTCATGGCTAGGCAGCGTTTCTTTATTCGCTCAAGTCCAATCAACCAACAAAGGGGAAACGCGCCAAAACTTCTGCTTTTTCGCCTGCCCGGGGGAAATAGTGCGGATTTCCCCCTTTTTGTCGCCCTGTCTCTCAAATGTCGCTGAATTGTCTACTTTTCGCCTAAATATACGCCAACTTGTCTACTTTCGCTACAACTTTTAAAACAACCTAGGTTGTTAGTATGTTATTCTTTTTCCACGGTTTCTATGGAAGCCGGTCTACTTTTCCCCAGTGTGTCTATGTATTTACTCTTCACTGAGACATTTCCTCAGAATTCACACACGATGGAGAAAAAGTACACTTCCCCAAAATTAACACTTTGCTCTCCATTAATTCCCCTCTTTTGGTTGTTTTGGTACCCTGAGCCATGTTTGATAACGTCTGAAGCCACTGAGTTGCACTGCCTTGAACTCACTTTTTGAATTCCTGAAAGAGTGCAACTTAGTGGTCACGAAGTGGCTTAGTACGACCGAGGGTGAAAAGTCCACTCCCTCTCGAAATACTCACACATACACTCCAACTGCCAGGAAAGTCCTACTCACTGGCCTCTCACAGCAACGTTCCGTCTACGTAATCGGGAAGATGAAAATCAAACTCAGATTCAAAGCCAATGTTGTTCGTGGGTACCGGGATCCTCAGTTATCGAATAGCGTATAAACCTATGCCTGGTCACCGGCTTCCATGGTATCGCATGTCGTGACGCTGCTCTATTGTCTTTTGGATTGAACCTTTAGGTCAGAAGGCCGGATAATGACTTATTAAGCAAACCACCTACTTCAATTTGGGCTTCCGGGTATTATCACAGCCTGCTCACAAAAATGGTAATAAAAAATATGAAGAAATTGATTCAATACTAACTCTAAAGATAATTGTGTGAGCAGAAACATAACACCTTTAAGTGTTTCTTCACCTATATCACTCATAACTATATTCATTAGCATCAAATGATCAGTCCGTAGTTACAGCGCCGATTGCCTGGGTGTTTCCATAACACCTTTCAGTTAGCTTTTAATTTCTAGAATGTATTTCCTATCCACTCTCAGTGTCTAAGAAGGTTTAACAAGGTTCTCCCGTCCACGCTCTCAAACGTTTTCTCATAGTCAAGGAAGTTGATGAATTATGGCGAGTTCCACTCAATTGATTGTTCAACGATGATCAGTAGTATCGCAATTCCAGTCAGCCAGCTGCAACGTAGGACCAGGCACATATATGCATCGGTCCAAGTTGTCATACCTCATTAGCACAGCAAGACAAACACCGGATTAATAGAAGTATTTAATTCAGTGGTGGTAATATATGAAAGAAAGATTGCATGTAAGGATATAGTATAGGAACAAAGATTTAGTACGTAGAAAGAAAGATATAAACCTATTTTAATCTCTTAGTTTAAAGAAAGACAGAGAGTGTACAGACCGACGCCATTGTGATCGATCCTGAGCCATGTCATCAAGAGTCTCCAACAATTGGTTACGTTAGTCACGTGGACCCCAACCAAGTAGTCTGCATCTACCAACATGGCTCAGACTAGAAGTTAGTGACTTCAAGCACTGATGCCACGTTTTGGTTTGGCCGCCCCTAACTTTCTTCCAACCATCTTCAACACCAGTTAGCATTGCATGTCGTGGTAATCAGTGTTTAGGCATACGTGATACGTGACCCAACCATCTCAGTCGATGAAGATTCACAAGCTGATCAACTGATTTACCATCATTCCCTAATACCCTGCGTCTAACCTTACTATTACTTATCCGGTGATCCCAGCAGATGCCAGCAATATTTCTGAGGCATCTGTGGTCAAATACTAGTAGCTTATGAGTGTCTTCTGCTCTTAATGACCATGTTTTACCCGACCGTTGTTGCTACCTTGACGTGGTGGTCGGGCTTGCTGATGTTACGGCTCAACGACTGGTCTGTCAAATCCTTCCTTCATTCAAATCAGTGACATCATCTTGCTTTCATAGCAAGAAATAAATCACTACCCAATATACTGACATTATTATTATTGTTGTTGTCATTCTTCTTTTTTTTCTTATTATTATCATTGTCATTAATGTTATTGTTGTTATTATTACTATTATTATCATTACTCTTATTACCATCATTATTATTGCTATTATTAGTGTTACTATTATTATCATTATTATTGTTGTTCCCGACCGTTGTTGCTACCTTGACGTGGTGGTCGGGCTTGCCTATCGTGATGAAGCAACCAAGCTATACTGGCTGGAACAACCGTTCCTCAAGGTCCTACCATGTCAGACAGGTCGGTTGAAGAGCGGTAAGACTAAAAGCAACAAACCCAAGGTCCGAAGGCGAAGTCGTACTGCTGACTGTACAGAGGTGTGACAGCAGTAAGGTGTTTCCTTCAGACAACCAGCATGACAGCGATGCTGCCTTCCCACAAGGAGGGGTGGGGTTAGAAAAGGTCGACCCTAAAAATGCACACCTCACCTTACCTCACGGATTTCCGTCTCCGGCGGTAAGGCCCTTTTGAAGAACGGAGCTAACACGTCAAAAACCTCCCACGAAAAGGCCGTGCGCAACCGGCCTCAAGCAGTTGTCCCTTGGGCACTGCGGTCACGCTCTCAGGTCACTGAGACCACTTCTAATCCAATTTCCTTTTCACGTACCTCCAGAAAAACCCTTCCACGGTGTGGGCAACCGGGAAGTGATAACCACCCTCATACCTCTAACAGCACGCAAGACCACTGTATTCATAATCAACCTTCCTCTTCAATTCCTATTATTCCTCCTACATCGACTTTCAACCCTAAACCTCCTCCTTCGGCTTCCTCCTCAAGTGTCACCATAGCCAACGATTCTAGTGCTCAAAACTGTCCCAGGTCTACTGAAACCTCGCTCCAAACTACACATTAGAGCTTTCAACGTACGCACTCTATGTCAAATCGGTCAGCAGGCTTCCTTGGCTAAAACCCTAGAGTCTCTTTCCATTGATGTATGCTGTGTCTCCGAAACACGCATACAGGATTCCAGTGTGGTCATTCACTTGACCTCACCTCGGCAAAACGGAGAGCCAACGAGATACACCCTCCGTGTATCTGGTGACCCTATGACCAGTTCTCGTGGACTGGCAGGTGTAGGCATAGCACTAAGCATGAGGGCGGAACAAGCACTGCTAGAGTGGATCCCCGTCAACAGTCGCCTATGTGCTGTTCGGCTAAACGGCTGAGTAGGAATTCGGAAGGATAGGGACACACGTCGTTGCCTTTTCGTCGCTTCTGCCTACGCTCCCACTGACTGCAGCTCAGATGATGTGAAAGATGAATTTTACAGAAAGCTGTCCGAACTTCTTCATAAAGCTAAACGCTCAGATATAGTACTCGTAGGGGATGACTTTAATGCTCAGATAGGTAGCTTAAACCAAACAAAAAGGCATTTAGGTGGATATTTTAGCATTCCGGCACAGCGAACAGATAATGGTGATCGTCTGCTGCAACTGTGCTCAGACAATCGCTTATTTTTAGCAAACACAAATTTTAAGCATAAAGAGAGACATCGTCTAACGTGGCGACCGCCTGCACCAAACCAACGATGGACTCAAATAGACCATATTGCCATCAGTCATCGTTGGAGAGGGTCGGTACAAGATTGTCGCTCATTCTGGAGTACCTGCTTAAACTCGGACCACGCCCTAATACGGGCACGCATCTGCTTCCGCATTACTGGACGCAAAAAAGCCACAGTAAAAAGACCCATTAGAACCGAACTGAGTAGCGAGGAAACCAAAAGTAGGTTCCAGGAACAACTGAGGTCACGGTTAGGCAGTTCTGAAGACGAGGCTGACCCAGATGTTGCTTGGAATGAAATACAAGCAGCTGTGGAAACATCAGTGACATCTATTAGCGACTTAAACCTCAGAGTTTCAAAGAACCAGTGGATTTCTTCAAAGTCTATCACACTGATGGATTCTCGCAAACTCGTCCCATCAGGTTCTGAACATGATGAAGAGCGACAACAAATCAGATCTAGGTTAAGAAAAAGTCTAAGAAACGACCGTGAGCAGTGGTGGGCAACGAAAGCAAAAGAGATGGAAAAGGCGGCGACTATAGGGAACACAAGACAGCTTTACAGACTAATAAAAGAAACTGGAATTAATAAGTCAAGTGTAAGTGAGATTATATCGGAAAAAGACGATACACTCATCTGCTCCCAGTCCAGGCGTTTAGAACGATGGGCGAAACATTTCAGAGAACAGTTCAGCTGGCCTTCAGCTACTCTACAACTACCCTCCATTCCCGGACAATGTGAATGGAACAATGAAGTAGGTCCCCCAACTCTTGGTGAAGTTCAAAAGGCTATAGTTAATCTGAAACGAGGAAGGGCAGCTGGTCCAGATGGATTGGCTCCAGAGGTCTTTAAGGATGGTGGTCCAATTTTAGCGATTAGGTTGACTAATATTTTAGCTAAAATCTGGGAGTTAGACGTTATCCCATCTAACTGGTCACAATCACTTATCGTCCCAATATATAAGAAAGGGTCAAAATCATCCTGTGACAACCATAGAGGGATTAGTTTAACTAATATAGTATCTA